AGAGGAAGGATCAATAGTTGGAAAATATGGCCTTGGTGATAGAAATGATGCTGGAGATTGCATGACAGAATTTTGCAAGACCCATGACTTCTTCATTGCAAATACCTTTTTTAAACATAAAAGATGAGTATACACATACTCACCAGATGGAGTACACAGAAATCAAATTGACTACATTTGTGGAAAGAGATGGTGAAAAAGTTCTGTATCATCAGCCAAAATTAGGCTAAGGGCAGACTGTGGAACAGACCATCAACTGCTCATATGCTAGCTCAGGCTGAAGCTGAAAATATTAAAATTAGTCCATGAGAGCCAAAATATGACCCTGAGCATATGCCACCTGAATTTAGAGATCATCTCAAGAACAGATTTGATGCATTAGACTCTAACAACCCAAGTCCAGAAGAGCTGTGGGATGACGTCAAGAACATCATATGCTAAAAAGGCAAAGGTCATTAAGACAAGAAGGAAAAAAACAAAATGGATGTCAGAGGAGACTCTCATACTTGCTCTCCAGCACAGAGATGCTGAATCAAATGGACAAAATGAGAAGTTAAGAGAGCTCAACAGAAAATTTCAAAAGGCAGCTCAAGAAGACAAAGTCAAATACTATAATGAAATGAGCAAAGCTCTGGAGTTACAAAACCAAAAGGGAAGAACACACGCAGCATTTCTCAAGTTTCAAGAACTGAGGAAAAAATTTAAGCCTTAACTTGCAATACTGAAGGATTCTATGGGCAAAATACTGAATGATGCAGAGAGCATCAAAAGAAGATGGAAGGAAGACACAGCCATTGTGCCAAAAAGAAAATGGTTGATATTCAAACATGTCAAGAGGTAGCATATGATCAAGAGCCAATGATACTCAAGCAAGAAGTCTAAGGTGCACTGAAGGTACTGGCAAAGAGCTATGCTCTGAGAACTGATGGAATACAAATTGAAATCTTTTCAATAAACTGGTGAACCAGTGGAGGCACTCACTCATCAGTGCCAAGAAATCTGGAAGACAGCTAGCTACCTGGCCAACTGATTAGAAGAGATCTGTATCTGTGCCCATTCCAGAGACGTGAAACAGTGGAATGCAGAAACCATCCAACAATATCATTAATATCACATGCAAAGAAAATTTTGCTAAGGATAATTCAAAAACAACTGCAACACTATATTGACAGGGAACTACCAGAGGTTAAAGCCAGATGCAGACAAAGACATGGAACAAGGGATATCATTGCTGACGTCAGATGGATCTTGGCTAAAAGCAGACAATACCAGAAAAATGTTTACCTGTGATTTATTGACTATTCAAAGACTTTAGACATATGTAGATCATGATAAGCTATGGACAACATTGTGGAGGATTATTCTGGAACATTTAATTCACGAAGAACCTGCACGTAGACCAAGAGACAGTTGTTCACACAGAACACGGGAACACTGAGAAATATAAAACGAGGAAAGGTGTGCGCCAGGGCTGTATTTCTTTCACCATATTTACTCAGTCTGTATGTTGAGCAAATAATCAGAGAAGCTGAACTGTATGAAGAACACACCATCAGGATTGGAGGAAGACTTTAACAACCTGCAATATATAGATGATACAAAGGAGCTCTGGTAGCGTAGTGATTACGAATCGGGCTGCAAACCACAAGGTCAGCAGTTCGAAACTACCAGCTGCTCCATGGGAGAAAGATGAGGCTTTCTGCTCCCGTAAAGATTTACAGCCTCGAAAACCCTGTTCAGGGTCGCTATGGGTTGGAACTAACTTGATGGCACTTAACAACAACAACAACAATGAAGAGGGCTTAAAATATTTACTGATACAGATCAATGACCACAGCCTTCAGCATGGGTTGCACCTCAATGCAAAGAAAACAAAATCCTCACCACTGGACCAGTAAATTACATCATGATAAATGGAGAAAAGATTTGAAGTTGTCAAAGACTTCATTTTGTTTGGATCAACCATCAACACTATGGAAGCAGCAGTCAAGAAATCAAATCACATACAGCATTAAGCAAATCTGTTGCACAAGACCTCTTTAAAAGTGTTCAAGGGCAAAGACATCAATTTAAGATGAATAAGGTGTGCCTGACCCAAGCCATGGTATCTTTAATAGTCTCATATGTATGTGAAATCTAGACTATGAATAAGGAACACTGTAGAAGAATTGATGCATTTGAGTTATGGTATTGAAGAATACTAAAAACATCACGAACATACAGAAAAACAAGCAAATCTGTGTTGGAAGAAGTACAACCAGAATGCTCCATAGATGATAAGATACCTAGACTTCCTCTCTCATACTTCAGATATGTTATCAGGAGCAAGCAACCTGTCCCTGGAGAAGGACACCATGCTTGGTAAAGTGGTGATTGGTGGTGGTTATGTGCCGTGGAGTCGGTTCTGACTCACAGCAACCCTGTACAGGGTTTCCAAGGCTGTAAAGCTTTACAGGAGGAGAAAGCCTCATCTTTCTCCCGCGGAACAGCTGGTAGTTTCAAACTGCTGACCCGGAGGTTAGCAGCCCAATTCGTAACCACTATGCTACCAGAGCTCCTTTGGTAAAGTGGAGAGTCACTGAAAAAGAGGGACACCTAATGAGATGAACTGGTACACTGGCAGGAGCAATGGGCTCAAGTGTTACAAGGGCTGTGAGATTGGCGTAGGACTGGGCAAGTGTTTCATTCTGTCATGCATAAGGTCACTGTCTGAAATGACTTAATGGCACCTAACAATAACAACAACAGTATTCCAAAAAGATAGGGACCTGTCCAGAAGTTCCTGGAAAAAGGACTAGGAGTTGACATATGGGAGGGTGGGGTGGCGAATTCCTGACTAGCACAAGCCCTCAGTGGAGTCCTGGTGTGGCACTGTGGGTTAATGTGCTGGACTGCAAACCCAGTCTGAACTGCAAGGTCAGCAGATCAAACTCACCAGCCGCTCCTCAGAACCTCTACACAGGGTCTCTATGGGTCAGAACTGACTCAATGGCACTTGATAACAACAACATAAGCCCTCAGTTGGAGAGCAGAAGAGGCACGGGTATGATTGTGAGGGTTGGAAATGTAAAGGGAGACGTTTTATAGCAAGGAGGGGAGTGATTAACTCTGCAGTCTAGGAGCGGAGGTCCCTAGGACCATCAAGGGAGAAGAGCAGAGAGCGGGACCCTACCCAGAGAAGCAGTGATGCCTGAAATGGAGGCAGAGATGATGACGTGGAGAGATGGAGCAGCTGGGGACTTTAGACACAGAGAGGGAGAAGGGCTGTGTGCTTGTAACCATGTGATTGTAACCATGCCAATGAAATGATACACGATAGGATGAATGTAAAACTAATGTTCTCCCATGTAAATTAACATAATTCACAATACAACGTTAAAAAAAAAAAAAAAAGAGGCATAGGTATGCGGGTACAGGAGCTCTGATCTGGGGGAGTAGGAGGTTAGACCATTAAGGTTTTGAGAGTCACCCAGCTGACCCATGAGCACACTGGGCAAGGAGAGGTGGGTAGGGCACAGGCCATCTAGACTTGGGATTCTGTTGTGAGGAATCCCTGGGTAGTGGAAAATGGTTAATGTGATTGGCGGCTGACCAAAGGATCGGAGGCTCCAGTTCACCCAGAAGCACCTAAAAAACAAAGGCCTAGTAGTCAACTTATGAAAACTCAGCCACAGAAAAACTCGTAGAGCACAGTTTTATTCTAACATACACAATTTGTTGTTGTTGTTCAGTGCCACCGAGTCAGTTCCAACTCACAGAGACCCAGTACAGGGTTTCCAAGGATCGCCTGGTGAGTTTGAATCACCGACATTGCTGTTCAAACAGACATTGCAGTCCAGCAGGTTGGGGATAACAGGGCCTGTAATGTAAGTAAAGGAGCATGGTGTTCCATACAATAAGCACTGGACTTTGAACCACAAGGTCTTCAGTTCGAGCCCACCAGCCGCTCTGTGGAAAAAAGATGAGGCTTTCTGTTTCCGTAAAAATTTAAAGCCTTGGATAACCCTATATAGGGTTGTTATGAGTTGGAACTTAATTGATGGCACTTAACAACAACAACAATATCAAGCAGAGAAGGGTCTGGTCCGGTCTGGGCCGGAAGTCATGGGGACAGGGTTCCCAGTGTGAAAGGAAATGAGATTTACAAGAAATAAGTGGAAAAACTATCAGAACCAGAGATTTCACAGGATGGAAGTTGGTAGTTCAGTCTGGAGGTAAACTAAGGTTCCAAAACCCTGCTCCTAGGCTGAACTGAGGAGCCTCTGGGTAATACAAATGGTTAAACGCTAGACTAAACTAACCAAAAGGCTGGAGGTTCAAACCCACCCAGAAGCGCCTTAGAAGATCTTGAAATCCCTATGGGGCAGTTCTATTCTGCATACATGAGGTCGCCATTAGTTAGAACAACAGGCAAGATGAGGAACCTGGTGGACAGAGGTTGAACGTTTAGGGAAGGGGTCCCAAGTATGAATTGGGGCCCCAGGCCGGGTTCAAGAATCTGACTGAGAGGCCCCATCAAGACGCGTGGGTATAAATCCAAGAACAGAATCAAAGTATTGAGGTTTTAGACCATAAGAGTTGGGGGCCTGATTGAAAGTCCCATTTCAGAAATGGGGACCCAAATAGGATCAGGAATCACCAAACTAAACTGACAGTCACACTCGTTCTAAATGTAAATAGAAGATCATGGAGAGGACTTGCGGGGGGTGGAATTCCCAAGGCTTATCTTGGTTATCAAGACTGAGAAAAGTGTCCCAGGAATAAATAAGGGGCCCCACGCAGATTTCTAAGTGGTCTCGGGGGCAGCAGGAAGACGGGAAGGGTCCTAGCGGTATTGAGGGTCCCAAAGTTGAATCGAGGGAACCCGGGAGATAATAAGAATTCAGAGTGCGGTGTAGGAGTCCCAGGTGTCAAAACTGAGGTCCCTGGCCATATTTGGGGTCAGATTCCTGGAGTAGCGTCCCGAGCGAGGGGGCTGAAGGAAGGCGAGCGCGCTCTACCTGGTGTCGCCAGCGGAAGAGACTGGCTGTGTCGATGTTGGGGTGCGTCTCGTCTTCATCGTCCGATACTTCGATGTGATCCCACACGCTGTAGTCCACCATCTTGCCTCAGGGGCCCAGCCCGTTCTGGCTCCTGCTACCGCGGCAGCAGCGGCGGAGCTGGAGATTCAGCCCGCGAAGCCCCACCCCTTCCGCTTCCGCCTGGACGCGCGGGCCGCGGCATTACGTCACATCCCTAGTAACCGCGGCGGCGGCACTGGAGACGGAGCCTGCCTTAAAGGGCCCTGAGCACGTGTTCTGGCTCCAGGGAGTCCCCGCCGAGATCCCGCTGCCTTAGCGGGCCCGGGGCTCCACTGGGCGTCTTCTGAGGGTAAACGGGCGGGCGCTCTAGCCATAATCTCCTTTATCTTCCGCCGTCCCGTGATGAGCGCTTGCAACGGACACAGGGGCAATTTGGTGAGAGTGAGGGCAGGGATTGTCACCCTTGGCCACGCCGCAGTGACGTCAGAGTGACGCCCGCGTCCATACAGGGGGCGGGGTCTCTCAGATAGGCACTCCCTCACCCCGTGCCCCGCTCGACCCTTTTAAAGGGAGACACCTGGGGAAGGGTGTTTGATCTGAAGGGACCTTTTCAGGCCGAGAGAGACAAGGTACTTGGAGGTTAGTGTTTCCATGGCCGGGACCATGACCTCCATCTTCCAGGTCTCTTTCCCACCCCCGCCTTCTGCCAGTCCTGAGCTGGGGCTCGGACACACTCTTACACACACCACACACCCACACACTCTCTGGAATCACCCCGGCTCCACACCCCTCCCCCCAGGCTCCTATCTGCGCTGTCTCCACGTACGGCCACTGGGTGTCGCTAATGTCTATTCAGTAGGTAATGTTCCCGACCACTAACCGGGCGGGGGAGCTTGGAGAGGTAGGTGGGGGGCTTTTCTCTGTGCCGCTGTTTGGGGTCGTTCGCAGCTCCTCCCTTTTCATCCGGGCCCCCTACCTCTCCAGGGCCTCCAAAGACTCGAATCTGAGTTTGGGGGACCCCAGCCACACACTTCCATACATCTCAACCTAGGTTTTCATACCAGGATAAAAGGCCGGGTTACAGCCTAGGGCCAAAATGATCAGATTAAATGGTGCTTCGCGGGCAGTGGATGGGATGAGAGCAGCTCCAGCACCCAAGTGAGGGGCGTTTCTTCCCAAACTCCCCTGAAGCTGGTGATGTGGGGCTAGAGGGATCGGAGGAAATGTCTCCAGATTGGGGGTGGGGGGAAGTAGAGGGGCACAGGGATTCCTGGTCTGGGGAGGAGGAGGGGCTAACCAGACAAAAAGCACCCTCCCGCTACCGCCCCTCCCCCCGCCTCCATTCAAGACCACGAGTGGGCGGGCGGGGGAGTTCCCTTCTCCTCTCCCCTCCCCCTCCAGCCGGGCAGTCCCGCATCTCAGTGGCCGTCACGGCCCCGGGCACGCGTGCGCACGTATCCACACCTCCTCGGCGGGACTCATACTCGCGCACACACATACACATTCCTTCCCCAGCCCCCCTGCAAGGTAAGCTTCCCGCTGCGAACTGCGGTGCGAATGGGACCTGATGCTGTGGAGGGTGGGAGCCAGGGCTGTGGGGCTTCCTCAGCGCCCCCAGGGAAGCCACAGCACCGCATCCGTGCTTTGCGGGCTTCGGCCCAGCCGCCGGGTTCCGGGTGTGTTGGGGAAACCTCGGATGCAGGGGATTCCCAGGCAGGCGTGAGGGGTCTCTTCCTGGCTTCAGAGCTGCCGGGCCCCAGGGAAACAGGGTCTCAGCAGTTCCAGCTCCCTAGAGCTGGTGACAGGAAACAGGCAGCTCCCCCAACCTTGCCAAACATTTCCTAATCTTTCAATAAACCATCTCGAGCTCTGGGGGCTAAGAGATACCGACCCTTGAATTGCTTTGCGCTGTTGTTTGGTCTTTACCCTACCCATCAGTGTACCCCAGTGTGTCTCTTGTTCTTGTGGGCTGGGGTGGGGGCGGGGACCGTTCCTCTTCGCTGCCCCTGCTTCATCTGCTGCATCCCAAAGCCACACACCACTTAGCTACGGCCGGCCGGGAACCGCGCAAAGGGCTTTGCCTACCCGCACCTCCATCACCTCATCTTCAAAGTGGGTAATGCCACTTCTGAGAATTCAAGAGAGGATGCAAGCCTTCCTTTGCTCCATCATTTATTTCTTAGCCCACTCCACACCGATTCCCCAAGTGCCTACTTTGTGCCAGGCACTTTGGCCAAGCGGGTGGCGCTGCAGCAATAATAAACAAGATCCGCCAGGTCTCTGCCCTGCTGACTTTTCAAGTTGGTGAGGCCTCAAGATCGGATTGTAAACAGAGAAATACCCACGCGTGAACACTAAAATTTCAGCCTGCAGAATGAGGGACTGGAGAAGGATGTACCCAAGATTAAATGAGATTTTTGGCTCATGCCTGCCTTTCTTATTCTCTCTGAGCTACATGAGGGGTAGGGCCAGGGCCAGAGCAACAGTTGTGAAGTGCCATAGACTTGGTTCTGTATGTCTATGTCGTTGTTGTTGTTAAGTGCTGTCAAGTCGGCACTGACTCATAGCGACCCTGTATAAGGTTTCCAAGGAGTGGCTGGTGAGCTTGAACTGCCGATCTTGCAGTTCAAATGGCTTTGCAGTCTGGTGCATTACCCCACAGCACCACACCAGGACTCCAGTAAATCTTTACAGGAGCAGAAAGCCTCATCTTGCTCCCAGGAATAGGCACTCAGTATCTGCTCCCGTAAAGATTTACAGCCTTGGAAACCCTGTACAGGGTTGCTGTGGGTCCAAACCAAGGAAAACCTGTCAATCTCAACTGTCCCATCTGCAACGGATCTTGGAGAAGATGTCACTATTTTGCCCTGCTTTGCGTGAGGTCCCCATGAGTAAGGGCCAACTCAAAGGCAGCTAGCAACAAAGAAGGAATGGCTGTGAACAGCTGGGAAAGGAAGGGGGTTGAGGCCAGAATGCAGCACAGGGCATGCCAGGTACCCATGATGCCCAGCTAGTAACCACACCTCCCCATGCACCCACACAGACACTGCCCTGCCTTCTTTCAGTCAACACAATATTTATTGAGCACCTAGTATATGCTGGGTGTTGGGAACCAAACTGGCTGCCCCATGGAGCTGTCATTTAATGAAGGACACAGAAAAGAAACAAAGTAAATATGCATAACACTGTGATTAGGAGTGTGAAGAAAGAGAGGGTTTGTGATGAAAGAGAAAAATGGATGGGGGGCGGGAGTGGAATACTTCAGATCACATATCCAGGCAGAAAGAAAGAAAGAACTAGAGGGTTGACTTACTCTTCAAACACACACACACACAGGCACATTCAAACCCAGACAAAAACGCAATGATACCTAACATAGGCCAGAACCAAAAACCTAAATAAGGGTTTGAAGCTAGTGAATAGGATTGGGGCCCAGAATCTGCATTTCTGATGCCTATGAAATGCTGTTTCCCATGCATTGGGCTGCTAACCACAAGATCAGTGGTTCAAATTCATCTGCTGTTCCATGAAAGAAAGATGAAGCTTTCTGCTCCAGTAAAGATTTGCAGCCTTGGAAACCCTATACAGGGTTGCTATGAGTCAGAACCAACTCCACAGCGCACTACCACCACGGCATCCACATGCATGCCCCCACCCCCACATACACACTCACATCCCACCTCATGCCCACATGGACTGTCATCCCATCATGTGTACAGTCTCTCAGGTACAGTGTCAACTACACAACATTCATGCTCTTAGGAAAGTTCCGCCTATCCAGGTATAGGTGCATAATCATGCCCAAAGTCCATCCTCCCCAGCCCTGCTAGAATGTGGAGAGTGACTCTCCCTCCTCAGGCCTGAGTGCTCTGGGGACAGTCAGGGTCTTTATCCTCACTTCCTTTTCTCTTGGGTGGTCACCCATCCCTGTCTCTTTTGGAGGGAGGTGGGGGCTGCCAGGAGACTGGAGCGGATTGCTTACAGGCAGGGTGTCAGAAGAGGTATCTCTCAGTACCAGTTGCCCAGCTTGGTCTCCTCTGCCATCTGGAGTCCCCTCCCCACCAGCCTGCTGTCCAGGGGAGGGGAGGCTGACTTAGAGCACCCACCACCTAGGGCATCAGACCAACTCCTGTAACCTTGGTTCTTACTCCCTGACTTATGCTGAGCTGATGTCTGCAAACATGCAGGAGTGCTCGGTGCCCATGGGGTGTACGTCTCTGCCTCTCTCCATCCTGACTGTCAGCCTCTCTAAGCATCTCCTCCTCCATCCCTTCCTGCCTCCCACAAATCCTTGAGTGCCTCCCATGGGCCAGATGCTGTTCCAGACACTGGGGATACAGCCAGAACCAGCGACAGAATTTACAGGGCCCAGGACAAATACAAAAAAACAAAAACAAACCCACTGCTACTCAGTGAATTTCTACTCATAGTGACCCGATATTGCCGTGGAGCGTTTTGGAGGCTGTAAATCTTTATGGGAGCAAACAAATGCAGAGCAGCTGGAGGATTCAAACTACTGACCTTGCAGTAAGCAGCCCAACATGCAATTCACTAGCCACTGGGACCCAGGTAAAAATGTAGGGCCCCTTTCAAGATGACCACAGGAGAGCATTAAACCAAAAGGGGGCCCCTTCTGAGCACCTGGTTCTGGGAGACTGCTTAGATCTAGAAGGAGACAGAAAAATCCTCTGTCCTCGAAGAACTGAGTGGTTGGTAGGAGGAACAGATACTGATGTACCTCAAGAACAACAGAGCTGAGAAGAAAAATCAAGCTGAATTAGGGGCAGAGAGTGAAGGTAGTAGGGGTAGGTCTACCGCAGAGAAGGCCTCAGGGAGGAAGTGAGGGACCATGCCAATTGATTCATTCATTCCTTTGGGAACTATTTGTAAAGCATTTACAGCTTGCTGGAAGTGTTCTAGATCCTAGGGCCCATCAGGGAACAAATCAGACCACCATTCCTACTTGGCATCCTAATCAAAGGACAGGCAATAACAGTAGTAAGTAAGTCGCATATGTTTTTAGATTGTTGTAAGTTCTAAGGAGGCTTGGTGGCATAGTGGGGTAAGTGTTAGGTATTAATCCATAAGGCTGGTAGTTCAAACCCACCAGTC